GGAACATTGTGGGTGTGGTGTATGAATGTTAACACTTTGTAATAATTTTTTAGTATAATACTTGTGTGGGTAGAAGTGAATCATTTACTGCTTGCAAACCAATGATGGTAAGATGATGTCATGGGGTAGGACTGGATAAGTCTGACTTCTTCCTACTCCATTCAAGCATGTACTAGGTATAAGCAAATTGATATTGGATTAGCATTTGTTGGATATGTGTAAAATTATGTGTGCTGACATATCAACTGTCTTTACATGCTTGAAAGAATAAATCAAATCAATCAAATCAATTAACTACATATAACCATTGTATATATCAATCTGGAAGCTTTGCTCTGCCTAATGTGTCTTTGTGTGTGCCTTTGTATTACTTACATCATGAGGACCGAAACCTGTTAACACACTCACACTGTGGGGACTCGGCCATCCTTGTGGGGACCAGAAGCTAGTCCCCACAAGGAAATTACTGAATTTTAGGGTGGCATCATGCTTTAGGTGTTAGGTTAAGTGTTGGGGTCAGGCTTAGGTGTTAGGCAAGTAGTGGTTATGATTAAGGTTAGGCTAATTCTACAGGAAATGAATTTATGTCAATGTAAAGTCTCCACAAGGAATGAAAACACAGCGTGTGTGCGTGTGTATGTATGTATGTGTATATATTTATATGCATATGTAGAGAGAGAGAGACCCATTTTTTCTCCTACTGATTGCATATTTTCCTATTTGAATACACACCTTGTTTGTCTAATCCTGCTTGGCCAATAAAGATTCTGATTCTGCCGAGAAGAATGGAAAAACTTTACAAAACAAAAATGTGCCAAGCTTCATTCTCAAAGACTAATGCTGTCATTGTAGCCCAAAATGCTTTAAGAAAGTACTAAGGGTCTGAATATTTGTATAAATGGGATATTTTTTAAATAAATTTACAAAAAAGCTTAGTCATTGTGAAATATTTTGTAGCTTGATGAGGGGAAAAAGCCAAATCCATTTTAAGATGAGTTTGAAACACAATAAAATGTGGAAAAGTTGAAAGGGTCTGAATATTTGTATAAATGGGATATTTTTTAAATAAATTTACAAAAAAGCTTAGTCATTGTGAAATATTTTGTAGCTTGATGAGGGGAAAAAGCCAAATCCATTTTAAGATGAGTTTGAAACACAATAAAATGTGGAAAAGTTGAAAGGGTCTGAATATTTTCTGAATCCACTGTATGTCTGGGTTGAGGTGATTTGATATGCCTTAGACCAACTAGTCAGATATGTGAGAGATATGATAGAGTAATACACAATATGGGAGAATCATTGTCTTCAAAAGTATTTTCGCTGCTGTCATATTCAAATTGTTCATGAAATACACAATCACTGAGAATCTTTAAGCAGCTTTCAATACTCGATTCTTTCTAATACCCACTACTCAATAGCATTTCAGTCAGTACTCAAAATATAATAGTCACCAATACCATGGCCTCATTAGTCATTATGAATACAGCAGCCTTCTTAATGTCAAAGCCAACTACATGATGTGTTTTATGTTCATATTTATTTCAAGTTAGTCCAGTCCAACTGTATTTCCTAATCCAAATTTTCTCTTGTTTCTTCTCAGAGAGTGCCTTATGTCACTGTATAGTGAACCCCTTCAGTCTGAACACAAGAAGATGGACTATGAAGTACCTGACCTTCCCAGCGGCCCCCTGGATATCTACAGGAAGAAAGCCTCTTTCAACTGGAAGGACATGCTTCTCTTTATAGATGGAGATGAAATGCTCACATATAAGGTAACACTTAAGTCTCTGTTCTGAGCTTTTGCATCAGCTAAATGTGACTCTTTGCTCATCTGGCAGTACTTTGGGTTAAGAAATAAATAAAAGGTAATCAAAGTTCTTATGTAAAAGATGAGCGACGATGGATCTTCATAACCATCCCGCAGAATCTATTTCCTTCATCGATGTGAGATCAACTAATAGTTTTAATGTGAAGATGCCTTACTCTGCAGGAGTTTTTGAAACTGCAAAGCAGAACTCATTTCGTTCATTATTCAGTGGTGTTACAGTGTGATGCCTCTTTACCTCCTAAACGATCTTCAGCTAACAGCTGACAGCTTGTTGTCTGTTTGTCTAGGGACTGCATTGAGGTCACAAACCCAACAACAGCCACTTTCATTTTGTTCTGTCATCAATTTAATTTACAGAGTTGACGTTAGTTAACGACAACACAGGAGCTGAATGATTTCCACACCAAGCTTTGCTGAGAATATTGTGGGTGTCACTGGCATTGCTGTGCTGTGGAGACAGCTCCACTCTGTATGATCCTGCTGTCTCGACCATTTGAATACTAATATTGAAAACCAGTTACCTACCCAACGAACGACTATTTGAATAGTTGAATATTTGGGTCATCCCTAATCTTTTCATATAGTGTTATTTATTTAATACGAATTTATGAATAACACTTTCCCCAAATGGCCTATTGAAGTGTTTGGACTTTTATAATAAATGTGGTGCAAACTTTGTTGTCATTCATTCATTCAAAACTTGGAAATTATACCAATTTAACATTTGTGATGAGTAGATCTCTCCTAATGCAATTCCCAACTGTTTTTTGTTTTTAAAGCTATTTTGAGGTAAAAACTAATTTTTGGATCTTTGGACATTATGTCACACTAAAGGACAGAACAATTTCCTTAGAGGTGGTAGCAGTGCCTTAACTGATTAGCGTATCAATGAGCTCCAGTTCAAACATGTCAGCAATTCATAGCTCACCCTCAAAGCTTTCTGACTAACAAGGAAAGTACAGAGATATCCCTTTTTATGCTTATGACATTTTATGAGTACAAATTTTCTGCATAAACAGCAGAAAATGTTTTATGTTTTCTTTTTTGATTTAAACACATTGAAAATGGTCAAAAATGAATAAAAGGTAGTTTTACAAAATCTTATTTAATTATTTTAAATGCTTCTTAAAGAGATCTCATCTTCTTGTGTGACATCTTTGTCCTTATGGTGTCATAGTACAGGTGTCACAACAAAGGATGTTTTTTGTGTCATTCAACATGTTATGGTTTGCTCTCTCTTCCTGATCCCGTACTTTTATTTTGGGCCTTTTTCCACTTCGTTTCACCTCACCTGCTCCAGCTTTACCCCGGTCTGCAATCACCACTTGTTGTTTTCACCTGTCCCTCGTTATTCCCTTGGTTGTCTGTGTATACATATACATCTTCCTTCCCTCTGTCACTCACCGGTTCATACCGTTATGTACCTGGTCCCGATTACCAGTCCCCTGTGGAAACTTTCCTAGACACTTCTGGCTCTTTTCACCTGTACCTGAGATCCTGCACAACTTCTTTGAGTTAGCAATCTGAGCCTGCGAGTACTGTCGTCATTAGGCTGGCGAGATTTCTGTCTAGTGGTATACACTACTATCTATGACTTGCCATTACGCTGTCGCCTACTCCTTCCTGTGTCATTCACCCCGTTGCCGATGAGGCTCATGTCCAGCAGTATTCTGCTCTTGTCTCCGACGGGCCAGCTACATTGTCACCACTCTTCTCTGTGAACTCACCTCGATGCTGGTGAGTTTCCCTGTCCTGCAGTATCTGCTAATTTCTCCGAACTGTCAGATACGCTATTACTCGCTCTTCTCTGTCTCCTCACCTGTGAGTACCGAAGACACCAGCAACGCAGATACCAGCAATGCCAGTGAGGTTTCCTGTCAAGTGGTATCTTCTACTGGCCCATGCATTTCTTACTTCCAATAACATGTTCAAGTCTCTGTAATAAGGTGCTGTGATCAATTGTGTCAAAAGAAGCACTGAAATATAAGAGGACCAGTATATAAACAAGTCCTTTGTCTGAGGTTAGGAGGAGATTATTGGTGACTTTCAGCAGTGCAGTTTCTGTACTATGATGGAGTCTAAATCCTGACTGAAAATCCTCAGAAATCATTCTTGTGCAAGTGGTCACATAACTGCTTTGCAACAGTTTTTTCTAGGATTTTAGAAATAAAGGGGCGTTCAACTTTGAGCTACATATTGTAGCTGCATTTCCACTGTCAGAATCTAATGTGTGGTGCACCCCGTGCCTCCCTTAACCGTCACCTGGCATAACCTTGACACGGACCATCCTACATTGCTTCCCCATATTACCCTTAAACCAGTGAGTGAATGTCTGTTATGTCCGTTGTTTTTTTTTTGAATAACTTTCAAACTAGTAATATGGGCATCATGCCACATGTCAGCAGTAGGTTTTCATGGTCAAGCAATCATATTATGACAGTCAAACTAACATGGGAATATTGCTTTTAAGATATTATGGGGGGGCTGAGTTGCCCTTGGTGGAGGTCTGCACACTCTGAGTGCTGTCTAGTTGCATCATGTTCACAAGGACCTCATAAGCATCAGATAAACAACAGTAACCTTTTGCATAATATTGAGTAATAAGAAAACATACTGTATATGGCACCCCTTGCCATCATCACCCTTTTCTTTCTTTTGATATCTTGTGCATTTTCTCTTCTTCCCTGTAGCAACATGTGTTTAAGACACTGGAGAATGACCCTCTGTTTGCTCGTTGGCCTGGAGAAGATCTCCCTGTTGAGAAAATGAGAGAGCTGACTTTCCTCAGGTATAAACATAACAAAGTTTCACTTTTTGTAGCTACAGTGAATTTACACATACTATGCAACTGAATTATTTTTACCCAAAGCAACATCATCTGTTATATACTGTATCTATGTATATACTCTATGTATAGAAAAAAAAAAACAAAGCTTGAGGTGAAAATCCACAGGGTGAAGCAGCTGTTCCGCTATAATTTTCTGACAAAAGAGGAGTTAATGGCCAGTCCCTTGAAGTCTATTGTCCTCAATGAGTGTCTGGGCATGTATGACTGGGCCATGGCCACCAAGTTCTCCCTCAGCAAAGGGGTGAGTGTACACAGGGTGCTGTTGTAGGAGGTATGTAAAAAATTTGAAAACCTGGACACTATGAAGAATTGAACAATATGATGTATATGCTGCTTAAGTGTGTGGTAGGACAAACATTTGACAAACCTGCCTTACTCTACTTTTTAAAGTGATATAGTTACTTTACCCATACATAGTATCTAATTTGTGCTATGCTGTCGAAATGATTCAATACTGGGGCCTCTTGCCCAGTGCTGACTTGCTATTTGCTTCACTAATAATCTTGATGTTGACTTAATTGTTAACTTTCCACATTTACTTGATTTCCACATGACTCAACCAAGTATATAGTATTAGTCTTATTAGCAGAAGTGAGAATGTCAGTTTGTTCAGTACTGTTGTTTATGAATAAATACTGCAATACTAATGACATTACCAGCAGCCTTAGCTGTACTTTGTGTTTAGTGCTAAACTAGTTGGTGACCATGGTAAAAACTGCCAGTGAAACATCAGCAGGTTAGCTTGCTAATTTATTATTTAGCTGAAAGGACCACTTCCAGTACGGCCTCACAGTGTGACTGTCTCATTATTTATATCCATCCAGCATTTTTATGTATTGTATGATGTTTGATGAGCATTAAAGCCTCAGCGTGTCGGTTTATTTCTAGTTGTCATTCCAGTAAAAGATGCTAAAAACATCTCCTGTTTTAGATGTTTGGAGCAACTGTTGCCAACTCAGGATCAGGGAGACACAGCAACTATGTTAAAAGCACTGATGACATGACGGTATGAGCTCAACACACTGCCTGTAACACCACCTTATGTTTGTATGAGTGTTTTAATCAAGGCTTGACAGGAATGATGTTCACAGTGAGTCAATTCAGTCTTCTTCAGATGATCATTTTTACTATATCATATTATTTTCTCCAACATCAAATTTTAGGGATACACAGGTTGTCATTTACAAATTGTAATTGCAATTGTTGCTTCTATAATTAATCTCACAAAAATTATGGGATTTGATTAGATTTGTTTCAAAATAATCAAACACAAATGTGTTTGATTCCTAGTCTGGACTATGGCTCTCGGTAACAGTAGTTTGCACCTGCTACAGCTGCGGTGACATTACTTTGCCATGTGCTGTGCTCATCAGTTGCTGAACTACAGTGATGTAGCCACACTTGACACTGTGTTTTATTCAATTTTAGCCATGTTTTTTTGAACACCGTGTACTTTTCTACATATTTGCTCTGCACAGACTTGTTACTACATTGTTGCCAAGAATGCTATAATTTTACATTTTCACACAGTCAGTAGAATTTCACCATGAACTGTGAATTTTTAAGTGCATGTATCTCTTTGTAGACATTTGGATGTTTTGCATTGACTGAACTGAGCCATGGCAGCAACACCAGAGCCATGAGGACTACTGCCATATATGACCCCTCCACGCAGGTCAGCACACACATCACATGCCTTTAATAACATTCAGTAATAAATTATAATATTTTAAACAAATTACAGTCAAAATAGAGTAGCACTAATAAATGTAACAAATGTCAATAACAATAAAATCTTAAGCTCAGTACTGAATTAATTGATCCATTGCAATTATACTGATCATGCTAGTTTGAACTTTTTTGCAGTCTTAATTCCGAAATGGAATCCAATATGCGAATATGAAGTGAGGTGAAGTGAATTTCAGAGTTTGGGTGCAAGACAGGATAAGGCCCTGGCACATATTGTACTGACATTAATTGTTGGTAGCACTAGAACATTTGCTGTTGAGAATAGCAAAAGGCAAAGTAGTATATAAACCTGAAGAAAGATCTGTAAGATAGACGGGGAAGATTTTTAAGTGCTTTAATTGTTAATAATAAAATTTTAAAGTTTAGTGATGCAGGGAGCCAGTGTAGTTGGATCAACAAAGGTGTGATATCATCAGTAGATTTTGAGATAATCTGTTGCATGAATAGGTTCATTTGGAATACCTGTCAGAATTGCATTGCAATAGTCAATATGATGTAACCAATTGATTGACTGTACTTTTGCTGAAATAGAACAGGGCGCAGCCTTGATATGTTTTGGAGATGAAAAAAGAAATCCTGGAAATGTTATTCCCTGGCCGACCTGGTGCCTTTCTACACAGAGTTTGTATGTTCTCCCTGTGCCTGTGTGGGTTCTCTCCAGATACTCCTCATATTCGCATATGGACTCTCGCCCTCAGCATCTGTAAAAGCCTAGCTACATGCATGGTTGTAAACAGTAAATTTCTTCACTGTAGGAGTTTGTGATCAACTCTCCTGACTTTGAGGCTGCCAAATTCTGGGTGGGGAACCTCGGTAAGACTGCCACCCATGCTGTGGTGTTTGCTCAGCTATACACACCTGACCAGGTGTGCCATGGCCTGCACTCCTTCATCATCCCAGTAAGAATCTACCTTTGACCCCTAAACAAGTTACTGCTGCTTACATTATCAGATTCTGTTGTGATGTCCCACAGCTGCATCTCAGAATACACAGTTTTTACACAAGGTTTCTATTTTGAAAGTTGTTCTGACATCTCTGGAGTGCAGGTTAACAATGAAATGCATGGCATCATTTTGCATTTGTACAAGAAAAAAAATTGAAAGCTAGAAAAGGTTCCACTTTTTGGAGAAAATGTATTTGTACTTGCATCTGAAATTCAGCAGTGGGACCATTTGAAGCAGTTTCAGTGTTTCAACAAGTTTAGTCTTTGTGGCTGAGACAGTGTAAATAGAGTATAGAAATGCAGCACCTGTCAAACTAGGTGTGAAGCAACTGATTTGTCATTAGGCCACGCCCACTTTTTGGGCATGAAGCCATACTGCTGCTCACAGATATCCACTTCCTTTCTTAGCCTAGCTTCCACTACTATTTCCCATAGCATACCAGTACATTGTGTGGCTCATCAACTTTATACCTCTAGTCATTATATTATTATTAGTCAAGTAAACAATTGATAATAAATCAAAACTCGTAAACACACTGAGTCAGATACACCAGTTTAAAGCATTAAAACAAATAGAATTAACAACCGTCCTGACAATGGCAAGTACTTGTTGAAGCACTGACACCATGCAACAAAGCCTTAAATCTACCTAAGGAAAATAATGAATGCAATTTTCACTTTTGCAAAGTGTTCCTTATATGAGGAGCAGCATAAAAGTAGGCTTGCTTACCCAATTCAGTTTTAACCTTTGGTACAGTGAACATTGTCATGTTTATCTAACACGAGTATAAAAAGTAAGGGTAAGAAAGGTGCAATTTGTAATGACTCATAAAACTCCACGATACAGAGTCCAAAAAAATGCAAACACTGAGATGAAGTGCTCATATACAGGAAGCTTCCACAATCAGTCAATTCATTCATTCATTCATTTTCTTCCGTTTAGTCCCCGGACGGGGTCACGGGGGGGTGGGGGGGCGGAGCCAATCCCGGCCAGCAATCAGGCGAAGGCGGGGTACACCCTGGACAGGTCGCCAATCCATCGCAGGGCTCAATCAGTCAATTGACAAGTAATAAATGAAAACTGTTGAATTGTCAGTGAAAGGTTATCAGTGTACAGGTTAATGACTTCTTTGAATAGCTCTCCAGTTGTTTTAAATAAATTGAAATTTGTGGAATTTTGGGAGAGGTTCTTTGCAAACACTGCATTTTTTATGTATAATGTGTGAAAAGTGTTGGTACTGTATGTTGACATGAGAACAGTTTTGAGTTTTCTATGAGTATAGTTGAAAAGCGGATGCTAAAAAATACAGATACACCGTACAGTAGGTTACACATAAATTATAGGTTTAATCATTATGATTATTGATTTTTCATTATTGAATCCTTATGTACAACAAGTTAAAGGTAAAACTCTAAAAACAGGCTGAAAGTGGCAAATGTTGTGTGTGAATGGTGTATGATCCTCTGTAAAGCGCTTTGGCCAGTGCAACACACTGAGAGAAAAGCGCTATATAAAATACAGTCCATTTACCAAGAATAGACATTTTATCAAGGGACGCTTGTAGCCTTCAGGAGTCGATGATTATGCACGTTGTATGTCAAAGTGTACAAATAAATTGTCAGGTCAAAAAAATGAAGTTGTGGTGAAGAAAATTATACCAAACATCGGCATGTTAAACATATTTGTATGTGGTTTGTAAAGGTAAACTCAAAACAATTAAAAACTGACTCATATTAAGTGTTTTTGTACAGGTTAGATGAGTACAATCATCTGATTTGATCACAGTATGTTCCATCCAATATATCTTAGCCACTGTACTGCAGGTGAGAGATCCCAAGACCCTGCTGGCTCTGCCTGGTGTGCTAGTTGGAGACATGGGCAAGAAACTGGGCCAGAATGGACTGGATAACGGGTGGGAGTTTTTGTCCTCTTCATCTGATGTTTAGTGGTGCAGAGATGATGTTTTCACCAGTTTGTTAGCATATAGGCGTCATTTAGAGTTATCTTATAGGGGGCACTACTGAGCATAGCTAGGGAGTAGTTGTGTCCTGACCGCATCCTGCATATTTTGCCGAAATTGTTTAGCAAACAACTTATAGGTTCTCATTCTTATTCAAAGTTGTGTCAAACAATTAAGAATGACAGAGAAATGTGATTTACACCAGGAGCAAGCAGATAAAAACAGTCTGGTACATAACAAAGCTAACCCACAACCTAAATCTGGTGATGAGGCCGATAAAAGTGCAGAGGACCCTTCCATTACTTACTTAAACTAATCAGGCTTATTGAATCTTTTCAGAGTGAGACCTATTCTTTCATAAACACTTTATAATATACTGTTGATTTATTTGCAACTTGTCTTACGAAGGTCGAAAATTCGCTTCAAGACATTGACAAGAGTTTTCGTGCTGGATATTGCAGTATCACAATTTTTCAATTTACAATCACTGATCATGCAAATGAGCTGTAGCATTATGTATATGTACCTTTTCTAATCTCTATTATGCATGTACGAATCTGTCCTCAGATATGCCTTTTAGCTTTTAAAAATAGCTTCAGAATAATAACACAATGTCAGTAATACACTTATGTTTGAGCTACTTTGTCGTAAAAAGGTTCATTTGAAAATCCTGTCCTATAAGATTCTGTCATTTCTCAAGATCACCAGTGCCAAGTTACCATCCTTTGACTTAGTCAAATACAAGGTGTTGTTTAGTTGACATTTTTGGTTCAATAGAATACATTATTAGAAGTAACCCCATACTTAACAGTATGTAGATCAAACACACCACCACATCACTGTAAATACAATACACATCTTGCTTTTGTGTTATACACATCATTGTTTGTGTAACCAAATATTATTTTTTGGCTGTTATATATCTCATTTGTCTTTTTCCCATCAGGTTTGCTTTGTTCCACAATGTGAGAATCCCACGGGAAAATCTTCTGAATAAGACAGGGGATGTTACTCCTGATGGACGCTATATTACACCATTCAAGGTTAGTAAGATTTCCATTGGCAGGAAGAGGTTGCCTACGAGGTGCCACTCACCATGTGGCCTGTTTTTCCCTGGATAGACTTTGAACAGAGCTCAGTGTATAGTAGGTTAAGTCAGTCTTTTCAGCTCGTTGTTTTGGTTTTGCAGCCCACAACTTTACTGTTTTGTTTCAGTCTTGGTGCTTGCATAGGCTTCGTTTCCAGAGCAGCAAATAGCTGTTTTGAGTGTCTACATAATGATATGAGGCTTCAGAAGTTGGTATCTTCTATCTTCACTATTTTCAGTATGAAATTTCAACCTAGTATGAATACTTTAGATTACCCACAGTAACAGGGACAGCGTTTCTGTTAACTCGTATCTGCCAATACCAAGTCCAGTCTCCTACTTAATTTATTGTTGGTTTAATATGTCTCACACACATTGAAATAACAGCCACGGCTACTAAGTATAAGACATTTATATTAACTGTTTAATTACTGAAAGTTCTTAAATCAGGGCTCCAAACTAACTTTTTCCACTAGTAGCACTGGTGCTTCTTACTCAAAATCTTAGGCGCACCAGCACAAAATTTAGGTGCACCACTTAAATCAACACGTAACGCAAGACTTTCATATTTTTTCCCCTAACTGTATTACTGAATTACTAAATGCTCTGTCAAACAATAGACAATTTATGGGAATATCCATGTGCTATTTTATTTTCAAGGACAAAGTCACAAAAAGTAGTACTGCGTCATAGCCACTGTCTTATCTAACCCCCATGTCTCTGTCCTCAGATGATGAAAGGCATCTTTGGTGGTAAATGGTCTTATACTTGTGTAGCACTTTTCTATGCATTGCAGCACACTCAAAGCACTTTCACACTATTTGGTCATTCACCCATTCGCACTCAGGACTACTTGTGGTTCCTAGAGTCCACAGAAGTAGAATGGGAGGCAGAGCCTTTAGCTATCAAGCCCGCATTCCTCCCCGCTGTTGCCAAGTGCTTGCTCAAGGGGGATTTGTTGGGTTTTTCTTCTATAATAATAACGTCTAGACCTTACTATGTAAAATGTCCTGAGAAGACTTTTGTTGTGATTTGAGGCTATACAAATAAAAATGAATTGAACAAATACTCGCGAGTGTGGTGTGCAGTCTTCTGAGATTTAATCCCCAGATGGAAAATCTACCTGAATTTGGTGCCTGACAGGTGCAAATTTTGGACCCTGGATGTGAGAAGATGGCTGCTAGTGGTTGATAATGACAACTAGGACTGGAAATTCCTCTGGTACGCAATGAGAGGTTTAAATAGTGACATAGTTTTCTGTTACTTTCTGTTGTCTTTCCTCTCCTCCAGGACCCAAACAAGCGTTTCGGGACATCTCTGGGTGCCCTGTCAGGTGGCAGGGTGTCCATTACTAGGATTGCTCTGACAAATCTGAAGCTGGCTCTGGTTGTGGCCATCCGCTTCTCAGCCACCAGGAAACAGTTTGGACCAAGGGACGCAGAGGAAATTCCTGTTTTGGAGTACCAGTTGCAGGTCAGGATGGAGGAAATGGCTGAGAATGCATAGACAGAAAAACATACAGTGCACATATAACATACAATAAAGTCCCAAGGCTCTATTTTACTGCAAGAGGATGCAGTGCTAAACTATACTTCAGGTAAAAAGTCAATATGCACTTTCACGTGCAGCCAGGTATTACTGGGCACATTTTGTAATGGGAGCAGAATACATTATTAGCTGGAGGAATACATGGTGAGCAGGTGGAGTCAGAGCTGGGTTTAGTTCTGTCCAATTAGACCAGCTCCTCTCATCCCCCTTAAAGAGCAGGGTTGAAACCTGACTGACCGATGTCACTAATGTCCTGACATGGAGATATATGAGAGGAGAGGTGCTTTCACTGTATCTTCGGCTGTTGTGTGTGGAAGATAGACAGTCTCTGGTCCTGTAACCAGCAGCAGTTACTCACAGCTGCATCCAGTGTACAAAATCCACAGGAGTCTAACATGTAACCTTATAAACATTTAACTGTTTTTAAAATAGTACAATAAAATTATATTGTAATCACTGTGTTTATGGTGAAACTGACTGTGGTCCGTCAGAGCCCACAGCCTGTTGATGTGTCGCCTACTTTATCTCCACCTACAGCTGCTTTCAAAGCTGATCAAACCACCATAAAATGCAAAAACACACACAGCATATATCCCCACAGTAGTAATAAAGGTATGTCTGTGTGAAAACTGTTTGTTTCTGCTGTGTAACAGGATTAATGGAGACATCTGCAGGGTGTTTATTTATCTTGGCTCATGAGCTGCTTTCATGTGTTACTGTGTGTCATTTTATAATGTCATTTTATAATCTGGCTGCATCCTGCACGGAAAGATGGTGCTCGTTAGTGGTAAGGTAAAAAGCACTAATATTTATGTGTGTGTGTACATTTATAATGTATTAGTGTGGTGGTTCATATTTATTTATTGCATGTTCTTCCAGCAATGGCGCCTGATCCCGTACCTGGCAGCAGTGTACGCTTTTGAACACTTCTCCAAATTCATCTTCATGAAATTTTTGGAGTTCCAGATAGGACAGATGATGAGAGACAACAGTGACAGACAAGTGAGTAAAGATAAGGGGCATATGTGTGTCCCCAGAGTTGTGATATACACTCACCGGCCACTTTATTAGGTACACCTGTACATTTGTGTGCAATTCAATGCAACACTTTCAACTTAACATCTGTGTTTATAAAGCTCAAGGTTTCTGTCTGTGGTGAAATTGTCATAAATGTATAAATTCAGTTATATTTATTATTGAAGTCATTGTTAAAGGTGGTGTTGGACTGAACTACGTTATAGTGTTTTTAATATTCTGACCCTTTATATAGCTGGGGAGGACAAAAATATAGACATCTCTTGAGGCATGCTTGAAGTTTGACCTGATTCATCTGGGTTCATAGATAAATATATCTGAGTATCGTCTGGGAAGCAGTGGAAATTTAGGATGTTTCCTGATAATATTTCCTAAAGGGAGCATGTATAAAGTGAAGAGAATTGGACCTAACACAGAGCCCTGTGGAACGCCATGACTAACTTCAGTCTGTCTGGAAGATTCATCATTAACATGAACAAGTTGGAATCTGTCTGATAAATAAGATTTGAACCAACTTAATGCAGTTCCTTTAATTCCAATAACATGTTCAACTCTCTGTGGGCAGCGACAGTGACGCCTGGAGGGGCGTGATTGGGAGGAACAGCCCCCCCGATCTGAATCCGAGCGGTGTTTTGTTATTGGACTTCTGTGCTAGCCACAGTTTGTCCATAATGAACACCATGTTCAAGCATAAGGGTGTCCATCAGTGCACATGGCACCAGGACACCCTAGGCCGGAGGTCGATGATCGACTTTGTGGTTGTTTCATCTGACCTCCGGCCGTATGTCTTGGACACTCGGGTGAAGAGAGGGGCGGAGCTGTCAACTGATCACCACCTGGTGGTGAGCTGGATCCGATGGCGGGGGAGGAAGCTGGACAGACTCGGCAG